GTTTTCTCATAGTATTTTTTTTTTAATCAACTGAAAAAGAATTGTTCTTAAAAAAGCCACAAGACAAAAGTGTGTCTAAGAACAAACATGTTCTTCCTACCTGCAGTGCACCAGAGTCGGAGAGTCGATTGGATTTTGGCTGCTGTACTCATGAATGAGGTGTCTAAAGTTGATGAGAAGGTCTGTTGTCTCTGGCACCCCGTGATCTGGCCAGGAGGTGAAATGGAACTGCCGCACTGTGTGGCTCTCTGGCGTGTCGGACTAGAGGAATACACGTTAGACAAAAGAAAACGAAGGGGCTTCAGAGGAGCAACAGTAGGGCTTCCTGCCATATGCAGTGGGCACAGCTCAGCTCCATTAACGATGCCTGTTAGAAACAGTGCAGTAACTCGACCAATAGTATTTCCGCTTCCCTCCTCCTCCCGCTCTGGAAGGGAATACTTTGAAATAATTTCCTTTTCACTTTACTCCAAGATCATCTCTGCTGCATTAGATCTGCCAACAGAGACGGGGCTAACTGTGCAGTCCAGCAAATATCACAAGTATCTGCATAAGCACCAGTTTTGGTGCAAGTCTCCTGGAAGCAGGAGCTGTGGGATCACTGATGGGGCACTCAGTAACTCCCATGAGCAGGCTGGATTGTGCTGGGAGATCCCTCTCTGCCACAGGAAGAGTCTTACTGACAACTCATTCCCAACTCTGGATACCTTACTAGAACACTGATGTGGGAAGCCATGGGATATAAATGGGTGCATTTACATAACTACCTCCAGAACCTTGCTGTCAGTAAACGGCGTGAAAGATTTTAAATCAGACTTTTGGCAGAAAGCAGACCAACACATTCAAAGTCTCAGATTAAATAAACCACTCATTCTTTTCCCTCAGATAACTCTGAATTTGATTACATTTTAGTGAAATGATGATGTTCCGTCACTCCAGTGAGGCTTGACATGAAGTCACACTGATAGGATAAAGCACTTCTCCCGAGAGTGGTACGGAGCTGACAGCTGGGGGGTACTCACCTTTTCTACAGTGAAGTCCCTTATTGTCCATTCTGGAAGGACAACCTCCGCGACCATTGTCACAATGATGCCACCATAGCTCTTGGATTGTTTCTCTGGCCAGTATTGCTCACATTTTGTCTAGAGTTAGAAGGTTAGACACATTACACACAGCTAACAGCAACCGGCTGGTAGTCTGCCTTCAAATGCACGTCACCCTTCCCAGTGGCCTATCCCAAGGCAGGAAAAGCTCCCCAGAAATAATTCTTTAGGGAAAAGAACCCACCCTTAAACAGATACCACAACCCTCCTGAGACAATCTATTCTGGTAGTCAGCAGATATAAAAATGGGAATAAGCTAAAAATCACTGGGCTTATTTAATTTAGCAGTCTTCCAGTAAGTGGATGTTGGTAAAAGAAAGATGTCAGTCTCCAGCCTACTAGGGTAACAGCAAAATTAGAAGAGATCCAACCATCTTCAAGAGACAGTTCCATTTCAGCAAACACATACCCGGGCTTGTTCAACACATTTTGTCAACATAACAACGGAGTAGATATTCTTTTCCCAAATCATGCGCCAGAAGTCGTCTATAGTATTGGGTAAAGGACCCTGTGCAGCAATAAACGCTTTCTTTGAGTTATAGCCCTGAGAAGAAGAATAAAAACACCCCAATAAATATACACACACCCCCGCATCACTGAGACACAAGAAGCCAATTTTAAACATCCCTATGATCTGTTAAGCACACATCATAAAAATACACATTATATTTAATTTCAACTAACAAAGCAACTTACAGGCATATAGTTTGCGTTAATATAATCATCAGTCGCAGAGCCTTGATCTGAAAGTTTAACACGAGAAATATCATCTGCAGAAAGAAAAAGGGAAAAGAAAACGATGGATTTTAGGACTAGAACCTTTCAGCAAAATACTGCTCATCTCATGTATGGTTTCTACACAAAAGGTTTTAGAACAACGTGCATTTTAAGAATAAGACTGTAACTTCAGGAGTCATGAATGACAGCAGTTTAAAATTTTTATCATGAAAGCCTTCAGAAAAATGAGTGCATTGTTGGTTTTGCATATTTATAGATTTTTAATGCAATACAAAATTTAATACAGTTTTAACTACTGGAAAAAAATAGGTAAATTTGTCCCCTGCTGCCTTTGCAGCAGATGTTTTCCCTCCAAAGCATCCCAAAGTACCCTTCACTGTTCGCCTTCCAATTCCTTCTGACGCCCTGCTGCGCTGGGGTGTCCGCAGACAGCTTGGCGGGGCTTAGGCTCTCGGTTCACCTGCAGAGCTGGCCAGCAGGGTCTTAATATTTCCCAGAGCTCTGCACATCCGTCTGTCCGGAGTCAACCACTAACCGGACTGCAAGTTTCTCACAAGTGGAAAATTAAAATTATTTAATTAAGGGAAAGTTCTTTAAGGAGCTTTCTTGAGGGAAAGTTTGGGAACTTTAGGGAACATTGAGGGAATGCTCTTTAAGTTTGCTTATACAGTGATGCTGGGAAAGCAGCAGCCCAAATTAATTGGTTTGGAAACTGGGGACATTAATCCCTCTTTGAAACCTCTGGGTACTATTAAAGACAGATTACCCCAAGTTTTTCCACCTAAAAACTCAAACAGTAGAAAGTGCAAAACCTAAACGAGTAACTCACATGGTAAGACATTGTTGTATCTATTTTTTCCCCTGTTCTCAGTAAGTTCAGCAGCAAATTTGGGCTGATGAACACCAGCAGACTTGAGTTCCTACAATAAAAGAAGGATTCATGAGCACCTGGTCCTGGTTTGGGAATCATACAGAAACACATGCCCGAGACTGATACTCCCAACACTCTCGGCTGTAGAAGTAGGCATGTTGAACTGGGATACATGATGATAAAAATCAGCTTTTAATGGTGTGGGATGGTGACAGTGGTGAAATTGGACAGAGAAGGGATTAATACAGAATGTAGGAATCGTAGCATGTTTAAAACCCAGCAGTGGGCTTTAGAAGCCCAGAAACAGTGCAGAAATACACTGACATCAACTGCACACTCATTCTGAGCCCAAGGCAGTGAACGTAGCAGAAGCCTTGGAGACGTTACAGGGAGAGAGGGAGCAACTACTTCACAAAAGGACTGAAGGAAGCCAAATCTGAGAGGAAGGCAAGGCAGAGCACCAGCCTGCAAAGTACAAGCAAAGGGACAGAGTTTGACCTGGAAAGAAGAAAGTCCAGTAAGAGCTACAAGGAGATCAAAAAGAGATTCTTTAAGAGCAGTCATAGCAACACTGAATTACTTCACCGACATTTGATTCCTGTCTTTTGTACCTTATAACAATTGAGCTTTAGCATATTTCACAGAAAAACAGTTATAGTCACTAAGCAGATCACTATTGCTGTTTCTCTGGCTGCTCCTTCAGCCATTCCCGGGTGTGGTTTGCAAATCACACCTCCGCATTACACGAGTCAGTGACATCAGCTAGAGACCTGTCTTGCCGTGTAGAAAAACAGAAACAAGATTGAAAAACCTGAAGTACAGGGGAGTTAAATAACTTTCCTAGGCAAACTCTGTAGTGCAACTAGGGCAAGAATCCTGCAGATCCTGGCTCTGGTGAGAGCTCTGAGCAGCAGGCCATGCTATAAGCTCACAGGCAGAGATATGGTTCAGGATGTGAAGTATTTATCGTGCACTTCAACTAAATCTGGAGCTGAACCAGGGGAGGAAAGGCTATACATGCAGCTTAACAATCCCTATAATAAAGGTCCCTTTCTCTTCCCCTTCACTAGGTCTGTCTTATGCTCCAGAGGAAAGCCAATTTGCCTTTCCAAAAATATTTGTCATGAAGCTCTCTCCACTGAGGGCTCGTACCTCATACTCTTCAGCAAAACCACAGTTGGAGTCAGCTTGCTGCTTCTTAAAGTAGGACTCAAAGTTCTCCACTTTAACCAGTTTTGATCTAAAATGAGAAAAGCCATGTATTAGTAACTGGTATTAGGTAAATAAACCATGAATTCAGTTAATGTGTTAGAAAGGGTGCTTTACTTACTTCTTGACTCTTCAGGGGAGGGTAGGGGGAAGAAAAAAAGGTTGATTAGACACATGCAGGTGTACTTTTCACTACGTGAATCTAAGAATGAAAGCATGACTGTTAGTAGCAGCCACAAAACTGGGCATTTACAGGGGACAGGATATCAAGCATAGCATTTAACTGATCTGTTAAACCAAGGAGAAGAACATCACAGGAGGTGTCAGTCAGCCGCTGCGTGACTCGCATCAGATTGGCCCCATTCCCTGGTGTATTTTACGCCAACTATCAAAGTCTACACAGGTGGGATTTCAGGGGATGCTCCAGCCATGCCCTTCCATCAGCACAAAAACTGGTGCAAGAAGCAACAATGTGATCCAATTGCACCGCCTGTGACTTCCAGCATGTTGTGGGTACCCTCCCATGGCCAGTTTTTACAATCCCAACATTATCTGAATCAATGGCTCAGCACAAAGCTGTCATAAAGCAAAGCAGAATTCAGGCCACAGTGCAGAATTTTGCCTATGTGCATGTTATCAACAGTTTGGATTGTTTCCTCAATGTGCACAGCAGCCTGTGGTTCACTCAAACATCCTGTCTTTCAAAACTGCACGGAGCATTTGTGTGTCTAACAGCCATTCATGAAGTGAGCACTCAAATCCCCGTGGCAGCTCTAGAAGTCTTCATCAGTATGATTATTTTTAGTCTGAGGACTGGTAGTCTTTAAATTCTGTGAGGAATTAATACTACAACATTCTACATAAAGCTGCACAGAAAACAAGTATCGGAGTTCAGAGTAAGCGTTCCAAATATCGCTTGAGCTCAGAATGTTTTCAGAATGTGTGAAAGGATATGAACTTACTTAATTGGAGAAAAGGACACTTCAGTATTTCTTTTATCTTTCCTATAAGGCAAAAGAGAACACCACAATAGGTTCCCAGTAGAATTTAATGGAATGCATATGAGATTTCTGATGACAGCTATTTCCTGTGCCTGTTCAGAACAATTTCTTTTAAAACATCTCATTCTGTATAAAAAAACCCAAAAAACCCCCACCAAAAACCAAAACCCTCCTGAGGCAAACCTTAAATCTGGAGTAAGAATAAAATACTTAATCCTTCATTCAGTGATGCTGTGCAATGGGACTGTTTCTGCTGGAATCAGCGTATAACACCCGAACACAAAGCACAGTGTGGTGAAGTACACCTGCGGGATCTGCATCGCTAGCTAACATCTCCGGAGAATCGATACTAAACCCAGAATCCCTCTCCTAAGTGCTCAAGAGTGACATGAGGCAGCTGAATGAAAAGAAGGGTTCCTAGCTCTAAAGGAAGCTCTTCTCACTGCTGTCCACAGCTACTGGACAACAGTGTGAAAAGAACAGCAGTTAATCAAAGAAACCAAGAAAAGTGGACTAAAGGCCCTACAGCTCCCTCTTTCCAAACGATGTACCACCTGACCAGAAGCAGGAGAAAGCCTTTGTGGACTCTTAAGTCCCAGATTATTTGGAAAAGACTGGAAATGGAGAGACCAGATCAAACTCTAGGCAACTCAGCTTCTGGAAACTCCAGAAGGGAAGTTTCATGTGACAGGCCATCAAGCAATTAAAAAGTGTGATAATTTAAGATAAAACCACCTAAGATACAACTAGATATGTCTTTTAGCACAGTAATTTGTGATGTTTGCTTACTTCTCACTTAATTACTCCCTCAGCATGCAGGAGAATCCAGAAGAGCTACACAAACCAAATCCTAACTCATGAGTCTGTAACCAAGGGGTTGAACACAGTCATTTAACTAGTTTGATACATTAACTCTTATCTGCAACACACAAACAAAATTTTTAATAGAATGTGTTTCAAAGCACCATGACAGAAGTGTATAAAACAGGAAAAGGCTCTTCAGGAGAAAGATACAGAGGTGAAATACTGGTGTTCCTCGTCACAATGAATACAATAACGAACACGCATTACCTTCTCCTTCTCCAAAATATGAAACCCCCTATAGCGACCACAGCCAATATAGCTAAAAGGGATCCGATAATGGCTCCAGCAATTACACCTGATAAAGGAGAACAAGTATTATTCATTGCTGATTTACCTCTTTGGTAATGATTTAACTCAATCAACATGCTACAAGAGATGCTCACAAGCGACAGAGCGCACACTGCTCTACTAAAGGTCTTTTCTCTACTGTGTCTTTGGGCAGCAGCAGTATTGACAGCTCATGAAGAATAATAAACAAAGGATGATAAATTAATAAAAAATTGGGATCAAAGGACCAGTAACTGCATTCCAATACAACCACTTCTGATTTACCAGAACTGTTAGAACACCAGCTGCTTTTGGTACTTGTTTCTGTACCAAACTCTCACTTTGCCGTCCCATCCCCTTTAGCATGCGTGAGCAGCACGGCTTTCGGTTACTTCCACAGCAGGTCATACATGGAAAAAAGGGGTCACCCACAGAACTGGCAAGGTACAACTTTCCAGAGCAATGGCACTGCAAAGCTAGAAAGGAATAGTCGATCACAGAGAAACCAAAGGATGTTTTGCTATTGTGACTTGCCATAATTAAGGAACCTCCACATGCTATGTGCCAAGCTGCCAGTCGTGTATTTAACTATACCTGGATCCTGGGGTAGCAAAACCGCCTCAGAACAGGGTGAAAACGATACATAACTATCTTTCCCCACAATGATGTTGGCCGCAGTAAAGGTTATATTAGTGAAACCTGCAACACTTGCCCTGTTGATAAGGGAGAAGAAAAAAAAGACACCAGCAGCTACATTACATGGTTTTAACAGCCTTATGCAAGATCTGTAATCTTTTTGTTAGATGAGCTTTTAGATTTCAACTGCAGCAAAATTAACCAAACAGCAGTTTGAGATAAATACCTGTATGAACAAAGCGGAACCAACGGGCCGTTTTCGTAGCCATACATTGTGTTTCCCTTGCCTACGTTAACGATGTTTGTACCATTCTGAGAGTGGGAGGAAGGAGATTTTGCCTGCTCTGTATCTATGACATATGTTACATAGGTGACTGTTCTCATCTTCTTGAAATCTTCGTATGTGCTGCTCAATTGAGACTTCAAAGATCCACAATCTTCAGGAAAAAACAAGAATATATATGGAACACATCATGCACTGATTTTGCATCAATTGGCACAGTGGCTGAGCTGGCAATACAGTGTGTCACATTAACCACAGTTGTCATTACTCCATAAATACTGCCCAAAATGAAAGGCTGAGCGGAACAGAACAGCAGCAATATCTTTTACTGCAGTAGAATTTACTGAACTACCCCCTACCCCCCAGTGTTATTTGTTTTAATCTAATGTACTATATATATAGCTATATGCAGGCATTTCTTGGACAGATATTGTATGGAAAACCACAAAGGAAAGATCTACAGTCAAAGAGCTGCAAGATGAACATCCAGTGTTAAGATAAAGGATAAGCATGAGTTTCAAATCCCACCTGGAGGAAACTATGTCTATCAGCTCCTTTATTCCCCCAGTGCAACAGCAGAAATAAAAAAACCAGTTCAACTAGAACCTACACTTCAAAGGTCAGTGCCTTAACTTTGATAGATGACCCTCTAGCTTTCCCCAGCATTCAACCTCCCATGGCATGTAATGCTGCCAATGCTAGTCAGCCTTCCACCTGCAACACCTCTCTCAGCTAATGAAAAGGTTTAAAGTAAAATCAGAATGAAAGCTCTCTGTTTTGGGGTGGTTTTTTTTCCCTTTACAGGGAAGAGAAAAACATCACACATTACAAACCTGATTTTATTAGTAGCTCTCTACTTATTCTGTGGGCAAACAGAAGGTTTTTTGCGGCAGGAATCACTGGCAAAGCAAGATGGCAAAGGCACAGGGGCAATGCACAAGACACAAACGGACAAGTCCGGCCAGGCAAGGCTGAGTGAAAACAGTGGCTTTCTCAAAACAAGGAGTGGTCTGACTTCAAAGCAAGTAAGGTATTTGCCTCATGACTTTTGAAAGGTGATTGAAAATACTGAGTCAGCTCTTTATCCATTTAACACTTATTTAGAGTTTAAAACATAATTCTGTCTGATAAACTGTTTCATGCAGCTACAAGATAACATTATAACATTTTACCTTGTTCTCCTGTTGTGATCATCACTGCGTAGGCTTTTAACGGTCCGTTCACTGACTCAAAATCAGAGAATTCAACAGACAATGAGCTGTGACTGATTGCCTTGACAAACGGAGCTCTGCTTGGAGTAGGTGGGTCTACAAACAAATAATTTTTAGAACCTTAATGACTGATAAAGAGAAGTTTTCCAAACAAGAAAACGCTGCAATAACGATGCTGGTCATGTAACGCATACTTACTGCGTGTCACGTTAGGCTTGGCATTGTTATCCCTAACCTCTAGGCCGATAAGGTACTGCACAGCAAGTCTCTTATTCTGCAGTCATGATGTTAATATTTTGGTTCTATGACTATTGTTCATTCTCAGATCTTAACGCTTACCAGTAATGCTTGTACTGCACATTTTCTGCACGGAAGGGCTTTCGGAACTATTTGAAAGAGTTGCAATAGTAACAGTATAGGTGCTGAAAAAATCTAAAGATGCTGTTCTGAAGGTTTCTTCTGAGCCTTCTCTCATGCAGGATGGAGCCTGTTCTTCTCTTCCCCATGTACCATTCAATATTTTAATTTTGAAGCCAGAATTGTTACCAGAAGGACATTCCCACTTCAGCATTAGGGAAGACTCCTTGGCCACTGGTTCACACTGAAATGAATTCACTAAAGCAGGAACTGCAAAAAAAATAGAGGAGTAAGAAATCAAGTATTGTAGTAAATAGAAAAGCTGTCTTTTCATAAATCCTGTCTATAAATTACTGCTCGCCACTGAACATACCACTCTAAGAACATTTTTAGAGGAGTATGTAGATTGATACTAACTCCCTGTATAATTATGTAGGACTCTCAGCCAACAAGGAACGAGTATCAGCTCCGTGTATTAAGAGCACAGCAGCAGCCCTCCTTAAGAGCAGCAACTACAACACGTCACTTTGTATCAGAGTCCTACAGGACACAATATAAAAACTGCAATTTTATGAAAGATACAAGGACCTATTAAAAAAGTTAATGTAGGAAAAACACTGAGAAGAGAGGTGCCTCTAAACTGAACATCTTCTAAAACTTGGCCTTCAAGATCAAAACTCTTATGACTTCTACAACTGTAACATAACAAATTTATTTCCTCTCTTGATCAAGTAGCATTTGCACATCCAAATACAGTGGCAAAAGGCTCATGTTTTAAATTATTTTGTTATTAAAAAGCAGTATTATTTTGAGAAACTAAAGAGAAGCAGAATTTTGTTCCAGAAGAAACAGATTTAGTTAAAAAAAAGATGTGAGTATTTATTTTTACTGCATTTTATATTTCTTTTGCTTCAGTAACACTGTCAGTTACTCCTACAAATACAGTGAAATTATAGAAGGTTCCAGGGTTTATGTTGGTGGTAACAGCTCTGGTGACACGGGATGCCTGGTTTCTAGAGGAGGAACCATGACTTTGGATCTCTATCCTGTAGGTGTAGTTAGAAGTAGCATCATCTGTGCTCTGGGGAGAAGGAATCATTATTTCCCACATCTACCCGGATATGGGAAACGGCGCTGGGCTAACAAACACAGACAGAAAAAGCAGAGGCACAGCCACCATTCCATGTTTTGGAGAGACTGAGCATTACGAGCAGCCAAGCAGCACTTTCACAGTACCAGAGACTCTCTTAACGGGTTCACCCTGGGGCACGTCTGGAAACGCCACTGAGGAGCTCTGGGACAGGTCACTTGACCTCAGTTAACACAGGACAAACTGAAGAAAAAGACATAGCAGCATGAATTCACCAGTAGGGGAGAAAATGGCCACAATGCCTGGCATGAGGAACACCGGAGCACTCCAACCTTCTCCTCTTTGTGGAGGAGCAGAGCGGCGTAGCTGAAAGCCACAGCCCAACTGCAGCCACAGGCCCTCCAACAGGGGAAGGCCCCCAGGCACACAGTGCCCTTCAAAAGAAGGGCCCGAGAGCCTCATCCACGAAGAAGAGAAGGCAGAGCCCTGAGCTGCTCAGGA